GCGCACCCCGGAGGGGACGGGGGTGGTCGTGGGGAAGGCTGAGCCACAAGCAGGGAGCGTCCTGCAGGGGTGTAGGGGGGTAGGGGACAGCTCGGTGGCCCCCCACGTTTGGGGCGTCCCAAATAAACCCCAGTGTCTGCGGGACAGGGCCCACCCCCGTGGGGTTCAATCCCTGCTGACATGAGCCCCCCACCCCAAGGGAAGGTTGATGATGGGGGGGAGGTTTTCAGTAGATCTGGGGGCGAGGGGCAGCCCTGGAAATGGGGAGAAGTGGGGGGGACACAGGACTGTGGCACCCAGCAAAGCACCCACTGGGACACGGGGGCTCTGCAAGCCCCCTGCCCTGCCCACAGCCCCCAAAACAGCCCTGCCCCCCGCCCCAGCCCAGCTAAGAGCCTGGACTGGGCTCTCCTGCCCCATGGATGAGGACAGGGGGTCCATAGGTGGGATGGGGAGAGATTCTTCATCAGGGAGTGGAGCAATAGGACTGGGAATAGGAGCAACAGGGGAATGATTTTAAACTGAAAGAGGGGAAATTGAGATTAGATAGATTTAGATTAGATAATAAGAAGAAATTCTTTGCTGCGAGGTTGGTGAGAGCCTGGCTCAGGTTGCCCAGAGAAGCTGTGGATGCCCCATCCCTGGAGGGGTTCAAGGCCAGGGTGGATGCAGCTTTGACCAACCTGGTCTGGTGGGAGGTGTCCCTGCCCAGGGCAGGGGGGCTGGAACTGGATGATCTTTAAGGTTCTTTCCAACCCAAACCATTCTATGTCACAGGAGCCTGGTGAGATGTGGAACAGGCAGGGGTGATGGAGACAGGCAGCCATGTCCCACCATGCCCAAGCAGGCAGCACCTCGCCATGCCACCCTTCCCCAGCTCCATCCCTTTGGGACAACAGCAACACCCCACCATTCCTGAGCACCCCAACCCTTCCTTTCCATCCCATCCCATCCCTCCTGCTGGAGGCAATTCCTGCCCAAAGCTGCCCCAAATCGCCCCCCGCACTGTGCCCACAAAGACCACAGCACCATCAGCAGCTTCAATGACGAGAGTTTAATAGTGGACACCTCCACCTGCAAACCGAAGCGTTCAACGGGCTAATGCTAATCCTCGCCCTCCCCACCTGGGATCCGACGTGGGGAGCGCGAGTCCGTGCTCGGTGGCCAGATGGGACCCCC